TTTGGTCTTTTTGAGACAGGGTCTCCCTGTAGCCCCAGCTGTCCTGGAACTCACTGTGTAGACCAGGCTGGCCTTGAACTCACAGAGATCCGCCTGCCTCTGCCTCCCAAGTGCTGGGATTAAAGGCGTACGCCACCACACCCGGCTTATTTATTCTTTTTATTTTATGTGTATGAGTGAACTGACTGTATGTGTGTAACTGCACCCATGTCGTGCAATGCCCATGGAGGTCAGAAAGGCAATGTTGGATCCCCTGGAACTAGAGTTATGAATGGTTATTAGCCACCATGTGGGTGCTGGGAATCGAACCTGGGACATCTGGAAGAGCAGTCAGTGCTCTTACCCACTGAGCCATCTCTCCAGGCCTTTTTTCCCTTTTCTATAGAAATCATTTGAATCGTTCTATGAAAGGGTTGTAGATGATTGAATTTCCCCTTCACCTGATTCTCTTGAGCTGTGGATACGAGTCCCCCTGCTGCTTCTGCCCTCTTGACATTTGTCTGTTCCTCACACCTACATCTTGTGATTTTTTTTCAAACTTCAAAGTTTGGATTTTAAACAGGCCACCTTTCAGTGGAATTGTGAAAGCCAGGTATGCAACTCCTCATGTAATATGTTTGGCAAGGAAGTAATGGTCTGTACAGTGTAACTACTCAATCCATAGTTCCTCCTGACTGACATCTAAAATCTGCTGTTTTATACCGGGTGTGGTGGTGCATTTCTTTGATCCCAGCCCTCAGGAGGCAGAGGCAGGTGGAGCTCTGTGAGATCCCAACCTGGTCCACATAGTGAGTTCCAGGTGGTCTGGGACTATGGAGACCCTCTCAAAAAACAAGAAACAAAGAAATCCCTAAGATCTGTTGTTTTGGTTTGGTGCTTTGTTATCGTTGTTGTTGTTTATTTATTTATGTTGAGATATGGCCTCATTCTGTAGCCCATGCTGGCCTCAAACTTGTGGTAATCCTCCTGCCTCAGCTGAAATGAAAGGTGTGAGCCATTTAAATAGCTCTTTGTGCTATTAAAGAGTGTAGAATGAGGATTACATTATTTCCATTCACTTAGACTTTACTGTGAATGTCTAATAGCTATAAGGTATAGGACATTGGGTATTTAAGAAAGGTGGGAGGAGGACATGAGCCTGACAACCTCCTTATCCCTCTCCACAGGCAAATGAAAGGAGCCTTTGGACATAGTGGCTATTTCTTGGTGGGAACATTGGGTGTTCAGATGTTTCTATCTTTAGGAACTTAGCCCCTTCCACACACATAAAATTATACTTCTTACAAATAAGCTCTGTATGTGTAATTGAGCCTCAGACTGCCTCAGGTATAAAAGCCTTGAAGATGCTCAGTTTCTGCCTCACTAATAATTTGGTATTTTTTTGAGTGTCTCATCCTCTTGACAATTTCTCTCCTCTTCAGTTTTGAGGCAAAAAAGGTAAGACTGAGGCATAAGCTCTTCAGCTAGTCTCATCGAGCCTTCAGAGGCCCTGTGTTTGAAGGGGGCCTGGTGCTGCTTATAGCCAAAGTGCCTGCTAGGGGGTAAATTATGCCTGAGAACTGCCAGGATGCACAGCTGTCAGAGGAGTTGCACAGTGCCCTTGTGGTAGCAGGGAAAAACAATTGTAGGAAGAAATTGGTGGTGGGCGGGAAGGCAGTATTTGAGTAACTGAGCTAATCATTAAGTAATTAATCAGCGAGGTCTGATCCAGCCATTCCTTTCTTCTGTTCTTTTGTAGCACCTTGGAACATTTCAAGAGGTGGCTCCAGCCAGATAAAGTAGCTGTCAGTACAGAGGAAGTCCAGTTTCTCATCCCTCCAGAGTCACAGGCTGAGAAGCCGGAGACTGGGGACAAGCCAGCAGCAGCAGAACAATAAATTACACACACATACGCCAAGCAGCTGTCTGGGGTCCAGAGGGAACAGTGGAGAGTTTGGCAGCAGGGGCAGCAAGAAGAAATCCAGGGAAGGAAAAAGCCCAAATTTGCACTCTACAAAGCAAACAGCTGCTGGTCCCTGAGGACTTGCTTGGAGCTGGCATGTGTGGCTGTCTTGGATGAAGTGACTGACCCAGGGCTTGCTGGATCAAAATATTGCTTTCCTCTGCCTCACAACTTGACTTGCTGAAGTTCAGAGATCTGTAAGGACCTAGTGGAGAACAGGGTGTGAAAGTGTTCTCAGGACACTGAAGCCCTTGTGAGCCCAGTTAAGTGAGCCACAGTTTTCTGGCTTCTGGGTCTTCATGTCTGTGTCCCAAGCATTCCATTGCTAAATTGTTGGGGGTGAGTGGGGTCCAGAAGAATGAAGTCAGCCTCCTTGAAGCCAAGCCTTCATGGGACTTTCTCATATATGCGTAGTAAATAAAGGGACTGTGGGAAAATAGGCTTTTCCTTTTGAATTTATTCCTTGTGTGGAAAAATGGAAAAAAGAAGTGTGAAAATATGGGTGTTTATATCTGTGTAGATCTTTTTTATTTCATGCATGGCTTCTCCCCCAACTTTCTCTTGCACCAGGTTCCAAATTAGACTTATAAATATGGCTTAGTGTTTGATACAACTCCTGAATAGTTCCAAACTTGTTCCCTGTGGCAGCTTTCCTGACTGTGCTTGTGCTTTATTCCTTGTTCATTGTGTTCTTGTATTAAACTTCTTAGAACAGCTGCGTGTGGCGTGTGTGGTACTGTTGACCCCTTTCTTCCCACAGGGATGCTTCTAGACAGGAGGGAAAGACAAAGATGTAGACAGGGGAGCTAGCATCCTTTTCTAGCCTCTTGGTTTTTTTTTTGTTTTGTTTTGTTTTTTGTTGTTGTTCTTTTTGAGACAGGGTCTCCCTGTAGCCCCAGCTGTCCTGGAACTCACTAAGTAGACCAGGCTGGCCTTGAACTCACAGAGATCTGCCTGCCTCTGCCTCCCAAGTGCTGGTATTAAAGCCTCTTGTTTTTAACACATGCCTTAGACATTCCAAACTGGAATGTTCTGTGGGTAGGATTCTGTGGCCTTAGCTCCTGGAGCTTCTTCCTGGGCAATAGTTTCCGAATCCCTAATGATGATCAGGGTAGCTATAAAAATCTTCAGAGAACATTTGCTCATTTCTAAATCAAGCATTTGCCTTACCCAAAAGGAAAGGAGCCAAGCAGGTCATACCATATACTTGTTTAATGGTAGAAATATATTTTTTTTTTGGTCTTTTTGAGACAGGGTCTTCCTGTAGCTCCAGCTGGCCTGGAACTCACTATGTAGACCAGGCTGGCCTCGAACTCACAGAGATCTGCCTGCCTCTGCCTCACAAGTGCTGGGACTAAAGGCGTGCGCCACTACGCCTGGCATGGTAGAAATATTTTTAAATTTCCAGTATACTTTTTTCTCCTCTTTTTTCATTGACTACTAATGTTAGCTTTATTCCCACTGTTATTGACTAATAGGATATCTTTGACATAGAAGGTGGCCTTTGGTGGCACCTTAGAAGCCTGAACACTGATAGACATCTGTCCTTGGACCAAGGTGTCAAGCTGCCATCTCTGGGGGGAGATGCCAGACCTCACCCTTCCAGGGCCATCTCATGGCTTCAGTTGGGTAGATAGGCTTAAAAGAAAAAAGACAGTTTTTTTTCTACACCCAATATGCTAAAAGGAAATTATTCTTCCTTAGTAATGACAAGGAAGAAAAATGATAAAGTCCCAAGAAACTTGTCCAAAGAGCAGCTGGGCCTAGGATGGTAAGAAAATGATTTTTATATCATAAAATAGTGTTTCTGGAATTCAGGCAAAATTTTAGCTTTCTCTTTTCTTATTTTCTACCCCAGAAACACATTTTGTAGCTGCAGAGATGGTACAGAAGTTGAATGCTTGCTGTTCTTGCAGAGGACCCGAATTTGGTTCCAGCACCTACATCTTGTGGTTCACAATCACCTGTAAACCCAGCACCAGGGGATCCAATGCCCTTTTCTGGCCCTTGTGGGCACTTACATGCACAGGCATACACACACATACACAAGCACACACGTAACTAGAAAAGAAGATACATCTTTTAAAAAAAGAAAAGGGGCTGGAGAGATGGCTCAGCGGTTAAGAACACTGGTTGTTCTTGCAGAAGACCCGGGTTCGAATCCCAGTACCCACATGGCAGCTAACAACTGTCCATAACTCCAGTCCCAGGGGATCCGACAGCCTCTTCTATCCTCCTTGGGCGTTGCACGACATGGGTGCACTTACCTACATGCAGGCAATACACACATACACATGAAAAAAAAGAAACAGACATTTTGATATGAGAAGGTGGAAGGTTGATTTTCAAAACCCTGGTGGTGTGAGAGGAAGGTCTTAGTTCTCCAGCCACCTTCTTGATTAATTCTGAGACAAGTCTCCACAAGAGGGAGCCCAGTGAATTTTAGCTATGGTCTCTTAATTGGTTTAGAGGTGACAGCTGAGTTCCAGGACAGCTGGGGCTACAGGGAGACCCTGTCTCCAAAAAAGACCAAAAAAAAAAAAAAAAAAAAAAAGGTGAGATCCCATTTATCTAAACCAGATTTTGTATTAGCTCCCAAGGCTAACTATATATTAATATAGGTTGATCTTAGGCTAGAAGTGACACTAAATTTGAAACCATGCATCTGAGGGTGCTATCTTTGTCCTGTGGCTTACTGTGTGGTCATAAATAAGTCAAATGACCTCTTTGTGTCCCAGTTCCCTTTCAGTAATTGGACTAACCATAGGAAAAATAATATGACCCAAAATGCTGATCTGTTTCCTTTGACCCTGAGAACTCTAAGAAACTCCAGGGAGGACATCCTCAAGTCAGTGAAATTTGTGAGTTGGGAGAGCTTTATCATCCTTGACTTCCTTCCTTGTGCCCTGTTCTTATTGAAATAGGTAGAAAGTTAGAGCAAATGCATCGATATTCAGTTTGCTAAACCACGGAGCCAGTGAAGGGTAATTACCAACAGGGGTAAGGCAGTAATGACCTGGTATACCCAGGGAAGGTTGGGTGGGAGCCAGGCAGATAAGCTAAGTGACTGCCACTGTTCTTTCTGGCACATGCACTCATCACCCTAGGCCTGGCAAGATCTGTGCAGGAATGGCACAGGCTTGCATCCAGTACCTGCTCCAGAAATAGGCTACGGACATAGGCACAGCATAAACAAATATTCCACCAGCTGTTGCCAAGGTGTGTCTCTTCCAGGCAGGCCTGCCTAGCAGATGATTGCTGGAGAAAAGAAAAAATGCCCTGAACCCCTCCTTGGATCCTGCCTCTGCAAGACCTACGAAAACTGCTAATATTTTCTTGAAAATCTGAGACTATCCATCTAGTGTTAGTCCTGCTTTAGTAACAAGATTCAAGACAGGACACTGCCATGGTAATCATAGTTTGTGGGAGAGCTATTTACTTGAGCCCAGCAGTGGGCTATTTAAGGCAGGGATTTATTCATCTAGCCAATGACTGTTGAGCCCCTGCCATGCTCCAGGCACTTGGTGTGGGGGTAAATAAAGCAGAGGGAAGTGTAAGTACTGGGTGCTTTGAGAGCACCAGCAAAGGAGAGATGACAGCCCTAGGCTACCTGATGGCGGGTGTGGGGGGAGAGGTCCTAGGGAAACTGGTCCAGAAAAGCCAGTAGGAGTGAGTGGAAATAACGGGTTAAGAGCTTGGGAGCCAAGAAGAGTACCAGAAAAAGAAAATAGCATTTACAAAGGCCTAAGGCAAAAAAGGGAGTTTTAAGGATCTTGAGAAAGTAGTTCAGTGGAGCTGGAACCTAGAGAACAAAGGAGGAAGAGACAAGAGGTTAATAAGCAAGGCCAGCATGAAGGGCTTCAGAACCACAGTAAGGAGCTGGGAATTTATGATGGGGGAACTGGGAACTAATGGGCCATTAAAGAGGCGGTGACAAGATCAGATTTGCATCTGTGGACATGATCTAGTTAAATTGATGGGGGGGTGCACAAGTTATTCACATTCGGCAATGAGATGTTTATATGAAATAATGCAAGCAGAGGACTTATGCTTTTTCTTTTGTATTTTCTAACTTTATTTAAGTTAATTTTCCTTGTTACACAACAAATATCATGTATGAAATGATGGCCGTTTCAATATATCACATCCTACACATTCATGTTACAGGATGATGTGTTCACTCCTCCATTGAGATGTTGGGTCAATATTCCCTCCCTTTGAACCTGGAAGACCTATGTAACTCCCTTGCTAATAGAGTACAGGACAAACAGTGTGATTTCTGTGGCTAAGTTATGAAAGCTTTCTATCTGTGTTCTCTTTAGCTCTCTCTCTCTCTAGCTCTCTCTCTCTCTCATTTCTGCCTCCCCCCTTTTCCTTCTCCCTCCTATTCTTTTCTCACCCTCTCTCCCACCCTCCCCCTTCTCTTCATTCAAATTATTTGAACCCCAGACTTTATTTTGGCCTACCTAACACCAAGTGGGATAAAGGCAAGTGGTCTCTTCAAAACCCTGCAGATTTGTGAGCAAAACAAGATGTTATGGCTTAAACCACTGAGTTTGGGTTAAATTTGTCACTCAGCAATAGACAACCGATTATCATGATCTGGGTCTCAGACTTTAAATAATTATTTTGAAGTATTTTAGTCTTCAGCCCTTTCTAGTTTGGCTACAGTGTGGAAAAAAGCAAAATTGGATGCAGGAGTCTAATTGTGAAACAGTTGCAGAATTTTTTTTTTTATTGTTTGTTTTGTTTGAGATAGGGTCTTACTATATAGCTATGGCTGTCCTGGAACTCTCTATGTAGACCAGGCTAGCCTGGAACTCACAGAGATACACCTGCCTCTGCCTCCCAAGTGCTGGAACTAAAGGTGTGCATTACTATGCCTGGGACGGTTGCAGTTTTAAAAGAGAGATGACAATGGCTTGAGGATTAAAAAAAAATTAATTTATTTTTATGTGTATCAGTGTTTTGCCTGCATCTATATCATGCAATGCCTGCAGAGGCCAGAAGAGGGTGTGGATCCCCTGAAACTAGAGTTACAAAGTTGTTAGCCACCCTGCAGGTGCTGAGAACCACTGAGAAATGAGTCCAGGTCCTCTGCAAGAGCAGCCAGCGCTTTTAACCACTGAGCTGTCTTTCCAGTCCCAATTTAAAGACTTTTATTTCCATTTAGGTCATAGAATGCTGTAAGAAAAATGTCTTGTGTACCCTAATAATGAGAAACAGCCAGATAGTCTATTGTAATCACAGGTTTTCTCTCTTTTTTTTTTTTGTCTTTTTGAGACAGGGTCTTCCTGTAACTCCAGCTGGCCTGGAGCTCACTATGTAGACCAGGCTGGCCTTGAACTCACAGAGATCTGCCTGCCTCTGCCTCCCGAGTGCTGGGATTAAAGGTGTGTACCACCATGCCTGGCAGGTTTTCT